GAAGCGTAATATTCACGACGACGACCACGACGAAATCGCCAGTTGCATTTTAAGACGTGGACTTCCACAGGAAGCCCACGTAAAAATGAATTTCAAGATATAAAACCGTTTAGTGGTTTGGTTAGCCATTTCAGAAAATCATCATTAACCAGTAATACTGTTACACTGTGACTGTGTGGTTTTCAAGGATGTAATTGAGTTCTATTGTCTTAGTTTTCCTTTGTTTACTTTCCTTTGTTAAAAGAGTATACCGCCATTCGTCGAATCTCTCGATTCGATACAATATTTCCCTGGTATCAGGCGTGTATGTTTTAACAAATACAAATAGAAAAAAATCAGAATTATATATTCTTCGTTTTTTCGTTATTTTTAGCAAAATTTGAATTCTTAAAAGATCAGAAAGCGCCACGTAACGAGACATATTTATTTCAGTACTTATTCCAGTTTGTCTGAAGATTGGATCAAACAATTAGTTACATTGTTGCCTGGACAAACCTGGACAGCTGTTACAAACTATCCACGTGGTGGTCTGTAGAGAATGATGAAGCATTTTATGTCTTATTTGTTGTATTTGAATAGGGACAAATAGGGATAGAAAGAAAATTGAGAAATCCAAACTAAAACAGTTTTTTCCGCATTTGCAAAGATTTTTTATATGTCTATAGATAGAGTTAGGACAATAAACTCTCAATAAGAAAGCAAAGAAAATATCACATCAAAACATGAACAGACAAAGAAAGGAAAGAAAACTAAATTATTATATCAGTAGTGTATACATCAAATTAATTATTGTACACGGGAATATGCTTTTGGTGAATTTTCCTACAAGGAATGTCAAGAGCTTGGTGAATTGCATTTTAATTGCGTGCTAGAGGATAGTAATGTATTAACCTGCATTTCATTCCACATTATGGCGGATTTTTGTTTTTCTCGTTTCCTGCCTCAGAGAATACAATTGGCTAATTTTTCGGCATAAAAACGCATAAAGAAATTGTCAAGACTGAGTACGAAGTGTCAGCAAGCCAAAAGACATTATTATTTGGTTATTTTACAACGCTTTAGGCCTGTGTGAAGGTAAGGAATTCACTGTGTAATTTGGGCGTTAACCCCAAGGATCATTTTGTTCATCGAAGACCTTAATTGAGCGGGAGCCGAGCGCAACGCTAAGTGAGACAAGAAACCAAAGGTGCTCGAAATAGAACGTTGTGATATGAATGGACATCTTTTTTTAGATTGCTAATAAAGTTATAAAAGGTTTTTCCTTACTTAGATAGTATTTTTGGGATTTGTTTTGTATATTTTAAAACTCCCGCTTATTTTCCAAATAATTTTTGTTTTGGATTCCGGATAATAAATTGCGTTATTTTCAGTGTTTTTTTTCCTGAAAAATTTTTAATATTCAGCGTGTCAGTAAGCTGTGCAGGCCGCCGGCAACGCAGGCCAGCGCGTCACTAATTTGCACTGTCTCCAATTGTCGCACGCTGACAAACAAACTACGTATATGAAGTACAGTAAAGTACAGCATATCAGTTGGATGTACGTTCTCATCTCTAGACAGCTAGATTTTCACCTATAAAAGCAATCTTCCTAACTATCCAGATTCTGGATTCCAAATATTTGGATCCTGGATTCCAGGATAGGGATTCCGGATTCCAGGATGAGATTCCGGATACCAAAGCTGTTTTTTTACTGGATTCCGGATCCTCTCACAGCCAAGGGACTTTTCTAAACTAATTACCACTGACAAACTTTCTGAAGCATGYTTTTTATTGCTTACACACATTAAGAACTCGTAATTAGAAATCACAGCCACACAGTTGTTATCTTACAATCATTGTGAGACTGCAATGTAACGCGCTTTGAAKCCACGTCCAACATGTACGTGAGAGGACTGGAACCTAACATTGGCGATATTTCCTGGTACTTTGACTGGCCATGGTTTGACCATACCACAAACCTTGCCAACTTCTCTACCATGCTGAGCATCATAGACCAAGACATAGTCATACGAACAAGTAATGGGGGAGTCGTCAATAGCGAAGTCTTCAAACTCGATAATGATTTCCTTTGTTCCGGGGGGTGCAGTGATCTCCCAGTCGCACGTCTATAAGAAATAAATAGACACGAAAAGTTGATTTCTAAATCCTACGACTTTCTTTTTGAGTTAAACCCAATAAATAGGCGAATAAAACAGCTCTAGACTTACGACTCTGTTGGGGTAGTTGTCTGGATAGTTTGGGCTTTCAAATGTACCATTTCCTGAAAGTTGACCACCACAAACTAGAATGATTAAAACAGACATTCTCAATGCAACTTTTGTACGACAAGTATGCGAAAATTATATTTCAGTGATTTTCATTGACAATTATAATCATAACTATAAAACGTGAATGACAAAAAATAGAAATGAGAATGGATAAGAGCAGACATCAATGGCTTCATATGTAATAATACCTGGTTGATAACCAAAAGCTTGATAAGATGCTTGAAATCCTTTACCCACAATGCTACTGTCACTGTGAAAGTGAACATTGGCCTCGTGCCAGTCTACTTCAAATGTTTTGGTTGTCTTGGATTTCCCGCAGAGTTTTTTACCTTTCGGAGTTCCTCTGATGTCTTCAACAGCAACATAGTCGTTACTGAGAACAAAATTCAAGACAAAAAAAAAAACAAAAGCAAAAAAACAAGTGAAGACCGCGTTTGAAACCATCGGCCGCTGCGCCGCTCTGAAGAAGCGCTGCCTTTGTATTGTGGCAAGCTTGCAAAAGATACTTGTTGATGTATATCTATCATTACAACTTTACTCAGATCATCTCTCTTGCAAGCTACCATTCAATATGGTAGGTACAAACTCAGTAACCATAATAGCATCAATATGCATACCTGCATTGTAGACTGTCTTGCATATCAATGTGGTGGAATGAAACAGCAATATTAGAGTATTGTGGAGGGGGGATGATAGTCCATGTACAATCCACTCCAGAGGGGTAGTTTGAGGGGTAGTTTGGACTTTGAATCGAGCCATGTGATCCAGTCAATATCTTGTTACACCCTGACAAGCAAAAATTGTTCACATATCACATCAAAACCAAAATAGTCTACTCTACGAAATAAGATGACTTATTTACACGTTTTGTTGAAAACAATTGCAACAACAACATTTCATTACTTACCAGATTTTGGTGGGCACCGTCCACTGGTAAAAGAGACCTCATCTATTGCGATATCACTGGTRAAACCATTTCCAACAATTCCTTGAAAAGACACCTGTGTTTGTAGGAACCAGGTATTTATTTAGTAATGAATAGGGACGTCATCGCAAAGGATATAGTAGCCTGGGAACTAGGTTATAGTCGTTTATCATACCTTATAAGGCTGCACGTCATCCAAGCTAATACTCTCTTTTACCCAAAACTTCCCATGATCACCTGTCGCTTTCCAGACTTGTTTTCTTCCCATTCCGTTGTGTGTAGAGATAGACAGGGAGCCCATCTTCTGACCGTTCATGTTGTAGTGAAAGGTAAGGCACTGGGGACCACTAATGGATGGACTAAGTAAGACTGCTCTGTCACGAGTCTGTCGACCGCTGGACTCGATATACGCGTAATTTCCTGAAATTGAAATATATCGGCCTCAGTGCTTGGCTACTTGTACTCAGGTTGTGTATCTGGCTTGCTTCAAAAGCAACAGTTACATACAAAACAACCATTTGCGCATAGACGTACCTAAAATGTAGATATCGTTATGWGGACCAGTGAAGAAACTGCGTGTGAAGCCATTACCGATTGACCAATCMATGTCATCATTGAAATCATTGGTCCAACCCTGACAAACTCCCTGGTCAAAGTCACAGTCAGCTACAAGAAAAAAAATATACACTTGCAGCAATGAAAAACAAGTATTCGAAACAATATTGTTCGTACAAGTATGCCCAGAGTCCGCAAGAGAAGGAAACTGTCGTAACACGCAAGTATAAGTGGATGAATAACACAAAACGGTATTTACAACTTTGATCATGGCTTTTGGTTAAGTTTTGTCGTGTGTTGATACCATCGATATTCCATCTTGTTTCGTCGATGATCATATCTATCACCCAACCATCACATAATTCGCTTAAATACCTGGTGACGTTGACTCTATTGTCTCGTACGATGCATTAAATCCTTTATCTGTTAAATGATTGTTGCTATGGAAATAAACTTCAGCTTCTTTCCCATGTACCTTGACACCAAACCCGTTGCCATAAAAACCACAGAACCGCGGTTTTTTAACGGAATGACCATTCGAGTCTGATATTGTGACGTAATCATCTCTATGGAAACAAATCAMRCAAACGWACAGATTGTAATGAGAGTGTATKTTAACACGAGCTCTAGAMATACCTGCAGTTTGGCGCCATTTCAACCTGGAAAGCAGCAAATCTAACGATAATTATCGATGTATCTTTCGATGGTCGAATGGTCCATTTGCATCTCAGGTTGTCTTTGTAGTTGCTAGGATAYTGTGGACTRGTRAATRAGCCACTGGGGGCGGTCAAGACACCTCCACACTCTAAAATGTGTTGCAATGTGATTAGTGCTAAACAGTATAGCGATGGAATTCAATATTAGTATATGTTTTTATCAATTTGATCCATGCAATTGATGGAAATATTGGCGTGCACGATAATAAGTTAGCAAATACCTTTCCAATTCTTACATTCCTCGTCWGAGAAAGTTATGTCATCGATTGCAATATCGGAGTAGTCMGAASCTCCTACAATKCCTTCAAAGACGACCTAATTAMAAATGATAGATATAAACCCAAACCTTGCTGTGAAAGTCAAACAACTTTCATCTAACTCTGRACGGGAGAAACCTTAACACTATTTTTGCTTTTTTGTAACTCTTGAACAGCAATGGAAGCTTTATATGTTTATTGATAATGACAGTTATCTTAAAATGAATGGAATRAAGAGGACGACATTTCATATAAACCACATTTCCTAAAACTTCCATATACATATTTTTCGATATTTGTATTTACCTTATAAGGAACGTTTTCTCTAATTTGGACTCGCTCTTCTTTCCACTCGTCACCTTGGTCACCACTTAAACTAATCACCAGTCTCCTCGCATTGTTTGTCACAATATAGACCTTCAGACTCCCCATACCGATAATGCCAAACATGTGGTAGAAGAACTTCAAACATCTAGTACCCGACATCACTTGTGTTTCTAGCTGCGCTTTGTCGCCTTTAGAACGACCAGTTGACTCGATGTATACGTACTTGCCTGGAAGCASGAAAATATTATGGTACATCAGGATGGTTGCAATTTGTCTGTGATAATKAATTGTTGTTTTAATACCTTTTCCTGTYGTGTGGTCTGCTTTGGGTCCAGTTAGCTGATACCCTGTGGGTGTTGGTCCACTGTGTACCGTCCAGTCAAAGTTATCAACTTTGTTATCAACATTCGATATTCTTGGACAAATTCCCTGGTCAAAGTTGCAGCTTCCTGTGAAAGAGGTGAAAATAAACGAGGCTACAATGTTTATACTGGATGCGATCGTCAAGCTATAAGAATAAGGGGATGGAGAAGACATTGGCAATGATAAACAGAAGACGCTGATCCAAGAAGAAGACAATGAAGAAGGATGATAATGAAGAAGAGAAAATAGAAAAAAGAGAAGAGACAACAAGTTGGGAAAGTACAGGAAGAAGTTTCGTGGGCTAGCTTAGTATCGACCGTCTTACCAGTTGTTGGCTCAGGAGTCGGAGTGATGATAATATACTTAACATCAAAGCCTTTCTCACTGATCTCTGCATCAGACTTGAATTCGATAACTGCAAGATCTCCTGGTACAGAAACTTTGAGAGAGTCTTTCCTCCCACATAACTTGCTACCAACTGTGTTGCCATCTTTGTCTTTAATCAACACATAATCCCATCTGATAATGAAATATTAGTAAATATGTACAGTGAATTATATCAATATGTTTACTGAAGTTATTTACTTCTTGTTAGCGCAATCCAGCTGTTCGTATGATATAATGGCTTGTGTTTTTCACAAGTTATTCGGAAGCTATGTTTGGTGTCCTATTTTTTGCAAACAATGCTAAAAACATTGAAGGCAAGCGTTACTTAATATCAAACAATTCTGATAATATCAATTTACTGTATTTAGTGCTGTATCTTCCTCTTATCGATTTTTAAGTTCTAACTACAAGAATAGCAGAACTTACTCGCATTTTGCCCCAAATTCAATGTCAAAATACTTGAATTCAAAGTCAATCTGCTTGGTTCTTGCTGGTCCATGAATGGCCCATATACAGTCAGCATTGTTAGGATAGTTGTKGGGATAGTGTGGCGTTGTAATGCTACCAGATGGTCCAGACAACGAGCCACCGCAAACTGTCGGTGTAACAAAAACATTGAAAAGTTTTATCGCTAGGACATCAAGAGGAAGACGATCAAAAGCAACAATAACAATAACAATAACAGGAATAACAACAACATCATCGTCATGCAAAAAGAAGACGAACATCAGTCAAGAAAAAGGAAAAAGAACAAGAACAAAATAACCACAAAGATGATTTTTTAAAAGCATCAAGAAAATGAAGTAAATGAAAGAAAAAGAAGAAAGAGAAAAGACGAAGGAAACGAATTAAGGTAACAATGAAAAAACAAAGAAGTTCACTTACCAGTTTTACTCTTAGAAGTTTTCGCTTCTCCTAAAAAAGGCAACAACAACAACAAAACAAACTTGAAAGTGTACATTATGGCAATGGCTCAGTCAAACCAGTGACATCCACTATACAACAAAGACGCAGTATTTATACTCTGTTGATGTAAAACGGGATATGTCCCATCCGATCGACTAATAACTTTACAGGAATACGATACAGTAATCTTACTGGTCCTTGAAGTTGTGTTTACTCTACCTTAGGCCTCATTATGGGTATTTCAAAGATCAGTTTTCATTACCATGTTTTGTAGCATAATCGCACTATCTCATAAGTGTGTCGAGTTTTGATGTACATCATCATATAAATGATTACTCATGTACATTTTATTTGATATACAGTCACTCTGATCCCCTCTGGCGACCATAATCCTTAGCGTTAAAAAACAATAGAATGTTTTGGTGTGACGTAATTATGCGATAGGGCAATTCTTATATACTGTAGGAACTAGTTCTTACAAATCAGCGTAAATTATAAAAAGTTCCTTAGAACCGACTTGCTGCTGATTCCTTATACTTTTGCGTCGCATTTGAAAATAGACTGACTTGCATTGAATGCTTTACTAACAGACTGTAAACGGTAAACTTACTATGAAAAACTTGTGGAAAAGGAATGGTACAAAAACTTTTTCCGAGCGCTGCATTTCGATTTTGACATAAACTGATATACCATTCAGCCCTGGTTTTTTTAAGAGGGCTTGTGCCTTTCTTTTTTTTTTTATTTCCCTCTACTTCCTTTCCTTAATTTCATTCATTCATTTTTAGGTTTACTCTTTTTTAAGGATAGAAATGGACATGGCACTTCACTTGATATCAGCTGTTCGATTAAAGAATCGCCTGTCAAATTGGTTTCCGGTTCTTTCACTTGGTTTCGACTAAGTTTCACTTTTAATTTGAGTAAATTGACATGTATCGCTTCATTTTACTATGATTTGCTGTGCTTCTTGCTTAAATTGTTTATGTATATAATACTTCTTTTCCTGCTACAGGTTGTTTATATATAATTAGAAATTGATTCAAAGACTAACTCAACATTTCGCTTCCGAATCTCTTATTTCTGTTCATGTCAAATCAAAAGGTTGTTTTACAGTTTTTTAAATATATTTCCTTATCTTAACTTTTTTTTTAAAACGTGAAGTTTAAGGTCTCTTTTTCTGAAGATTTTTTCTCTCGTTTTTCTCCATTTACTATTTTTGCTCTCTTGCAGCGGCAGTACCATTCTATTCTGACTTATCAAATACTGCGCAATGATAATCATTCTTTTTTTTTACTCTTCCAATTCTTCCCTGCTGATATGATTCATGAGTAATTGGCGATGTTTAATTTTGCCCAAGCACCTGGGGGATAAAACTGCGATGACTTGAAAACAATGAACTCTGCTAGAACATTCGGTCACCTTTCGGTGCTGGGACGTCATGCATATTGGCAGAAAGGAAGCAGATGTTATCAATACATAATATATTTGACACAAATAAGTGCTAATTCATGTTTTATTCGCCGAGTCATGTGTGCTATATCTTGGTAAACAGTTTGGATCACGTTTTGTTTGTACGCAACAAACTTTTTTATCGTATACCATCCATATATAGTTTATCTAAGGTCCAATCTTGGTAAGGGCCAATCAAGGGACTGGATGGGTCCCCATAATAGACACGGTCGTTCCTTACGAAGCAGATTCCAGCACGCTCGACAGCCTTGTCCCTCAATAAATTCGGTTACGTATCGGTGCTGGGGCGTTATATTGGCAGAAAGGAAACAGGTGTTATCATGTTGAAATCATCGCTCACGGATGGATACTTGCGTAAAATAATGTGCATAAACATAATAGCTAAAATCGACGCCTTTCCTCGTAACAACACTCGTAGCAAACACTACCGCATCACGGTAATATAGTGGGTGTCAGCCTGTGTGAGTAATTACGTGACAATTAGCTTTCAAGTGACACGAATCTTTTATCATTTCAAAATACTTCCGTCTTTCATTAACCCGAAAGGCAATATCACCCGAAATCTTCCTTTTTTACTTGGAAAACTCTATAAAATCAGCAACGCCTTTTTTGTGCAACATGTAGGGGGGTGCGACTAGGCCTCCTCTTGAAAAGTCGTTAAAATATTGAATTATGATGAGCACGAATTTCAAATCAGTTGAAAGTGAAAGTCGTATAGACCGCGGTATAAGGCTACGATGGGAGGACGTGCATTTTGAAAAACGTTATTTCGCATGACTGCATCATTCATGGGTTTTGGTGTGGCAATTCATTCCCCGACCACAGGAAATCCAATTCACAAGTGCTACAAAATTCAGATCCGAACTTGAAAAACACAGTGAACTTCTAAGTACATAAAAATCGTACGTCAATGTTCAATTGCTTTTCGCAATAGTGTTGGTTGAAACTTCAAGCGTGACAAAGTATAAGAAATCCTTGCATGACAAACGAAAGTTGCGTGACATAGTACTTCCGGTACGGTATAATACGTATWCATTTCATGTTCATTAGTTCCGTCAGTGTGGGAGCTTTTGTTCCGTAGTCACAGCTTCTAATCTAATTCCGTGACTTCATGTTCAAAATATGCAGTGGTGTCAAACCAATCATAAACGGAAAGCTTAGTCGAGTATATTTATTCACTTTCGTCCAATCTAGATTTTCAYAGTGTATCATATCAGATTCAAGTTAAGACCAATCTGGTTAAAAGACAATTGAAAAGAGATCGTTTTTACAGCTGGTTGACGTCGAGATGCCTGAGAATTCTACGTCTTCTTCGCCATACGAGAAGTTAGAYCCCAAACAAGGYGTTATACTTGGAATTATCACYACACCAGGCGTAATTGCCAATCTGCTAACAATTATCGTCACATTAAGGTTGTTAAGACACCAGAAAATGACTCCCAATGTGTTCGTCTTTGCCTTGGCGTGTATGGATTTAAGTGGCATCGTATTCATATGTTTTCCAACTTTTCTGTGCTATATTTTCAAAAAGTGGGTCGGTGGCGATCAGATGTGCAAGTTTCAAGGATTTTTGACTTTGTTTTTCTCTCTTGGSTCTGGATTTCTAGCAACTGCGATGTCCGTGGATAGATACATGGCGGTTAGATGGCCWCTGTATCACAGGCAGCACATAACTATTCAAGTTGTCAAGAAAATAATTCTAGTAATGGTGCTAGCATCAGCTTTGGTATCATTTCTCCCTGTTGTAGGGTTTGGAGCCTTTGTTCGCAACTTAACAGGGACTTACTGCACGCTAAACTGGTTTGCTACWGCTACGGAGGACGTTGCGTTTTCCTGCGTTTTCGCAAGCCTGGGATTTCTGCTGATATTGACTGTTGTGTTTTGYAATATCAMTGTTGTGTTTAAACTCTACCGTCGAAGAGAAAAAATAARAACAATGGTGAGTGAAAGGGGACGCAACAAAGACGACAAAAAGAGTTCAACTCTCGATAGACAGTTTGCCAAAATGATGATTGTAATTTCAGCAATATTTCTGCTCTGTTGGACGCCTTTTGTGGTAAGTTTCGCCTTCAGCTAGCAATGACCCGGAAATCAGATATGGGTGGAATTAAGATCTAATCAATCTCATAGCACAAWGGCATWATAAKAATTGCTAAGGGCTGACTTCCCTTCACATTGMGAAAAAAATTACTTGYAAACCAATTGATGTATTTCGTAACTTAACGTTTCAGCGGAATTATTTTTGCAACACTTAATAYCGGTACTGARCGCTTCATTTTGACCTTGAGTAGTTTTTTATGAATCTTGTTCAATTTACAAAAGACCAACATATCGTACTGTTTTTCGTGATATATGACATGATTTTCATCCACTTCTCTTTTAATCAAATCACTTTGTTTGCAGTTTCCATCAAAATGTCRTYTCACAAATTGACGTATTGATTCTGGAAAAATAGTTTAATATGCTCRCRAGCTTAATCCATTGAAAAAGATTCAAATGAACTAAATTGAACGGGATTTATAAGAAGCTTTTAATTTCACGTCAAGTGTACTAAATTGTGTTGGAACAGCTTATGGGAAATGTCACATACATCGACAACAAAAAGGAAAGTGAAAAAGGCATTTTGATTGCCGACATGTCATTTCAGCTTGACTCAGCCATTAGGTAAATTTATATCTTGACTATGAATGTCAATATTGTTTTAGACTAAAGATAAAAGATAAATAATCTCATGGCAATAAGAATGGATAGTTGATGTAGTTGACATGCATTGCTGTATCGCACCATGTTGTTGTAAAAAACGCACCGATGAATCGTATATTCCGGTAAAACTTTTTAGCCTCCCTGGGTTCGAGTGAGTTTTATCTCTGAATTAAGATGTGTCATGCAAGATAGGAAATTAGTGAATTAATTGGTCGGTCTTTTTTAATAACCATTGCGTATTTGTGGACTCATTAATTTGATTGTAGAAGTTTCCCGCAGATTAAATAAAGCATTAACGCAACGCGACGCAACACAATATGTCAACAGTTAACCAATCATTGATTTCTTAGGTTCGCACTATTTGCAACATCTCAGGAGTGTGGAAGAGCTGGTCAGCGGACCTACAGTCGTCAAGGCTACTACTGCTCAACCTCGTTCTAGATCCATTCACGTACGTGTTAACGAGAAAGCACTACCGCAAAGCACTATGGACTATGATGTGTTCATGCTGTAAAAATAAGACGTCGTCTTTAAAGGTGAACAGTTCTCTGACGTCATCCAGTAGAAACCTGCGCAGTACAAGAACCACTGATGTGTCACTGGATGTCCTGAAATACACCAATCAGGGACGAGAAGAAAGCGTGGAGAATTCTGTAGATAGTACRGAGACTATTGAAAAATGTTGAGCTAATAAAAAGATATTTTAGGTTGTAGAAGTGAATATTATGTTACRAAAAGATATAGTATCTAAATTATTAAAAAAGTATAATAAAACTGGATTTTTCGTGATTTTTTGTCAAATTCTCTTGAGTGTATTAATGGGATTCCTGTGTAGAAAAGCTGTACGTAAGTATCGCGGRCGCATTTRTTAGTAAAGGAAAACACTTTGGAGAAGTTGTTATAAACTTAATTTCAGTGGCTCAAAATAGGAAGAAAATCTTCACAATTTCCTGCATGTTGGAGTTTAGGAAATGCCTATGGCAGGCATTGAGCTGAATAATAATAATTTCCTTCAAGTTATTTTATAACCATCTTGTCATCAGTGTCGTTTTGACAAATTTCCAAGTTTTTTTGGTTATGGCTTCCACGACTACAACTCCTKCTTGGGTAGGTAATTGCTCTTTGTAGCATACTTAAGATTGCTCACATTTGATATGAAAAGAGGTGTTCGGACATGTTTTTTCATGCTAGTAATAAGAAGTCACAAGAACAGCTGTTCTCGTAACTTGTGTTAGTCACATGACAATGTGAAGGTTACAACTTTGCTGGGTATAAAATGGATATATTAGATAAATACTTATTGTAATACTCTGATGTAATCTTATAGACTTTTTCTTAAGAATTAGATGTAAAATATATGAAAAGAAGAGAAACAAATTTATCATACAGAATAACTTCTGTACAAAATCCTACCGTCACAGATTAATGTCYSAYATGATTTTCTCCATGTCTTCAAGATGTTTTGGCTTTTGCTGTTGTTTAATGTTCTTAGGCAGACAACATACAGTGTCAGCTATTCTGTTGTTGTTAATTAATGTCTATTTTTAGGTATTTATAATTATTGGTGTTGGAGGTGCATTGTTATTGCTTGTCATAGTATGGATTGTTTGCAAGTGCAGGTAATGAATCGTTACTGTGTGGGATACGCAGAGAACTATATTTGATTTAGTTTTACTATTTTAAGACAAAGGTATCAGATTGACTACTCAGCTTTGGATGAAGAGCGAAGTTTGCTACAGAAATGGGAGGATGAGAAAAGAGTGCAGAAAAA